GAGACTGGCATTCAACTTGTGACCCTCCTGCCTCCTCCTCAGGCATGTGCCACCATGCATATTTTCTAGATACAGATACTTTGGGTCAATGTTGGCCCTTTTCAGTTATGGCATCAAGAAATGGATTTTTCAAGCATTTTCACAAACTGTCAGTTGCAGGAGAACAGGGTTCCCCTTAGTTTCTAAATTTCACTGAACATTTTTGCTGACAGTGTTTGAGTGATGCTTGTCACTTTGGTGACCTTCCTTCAGGGGCTGTCCACCTGGGATTACTCATCTTAGGCAAGGCCTTAGACTCTTCTGGGTGTTGAGGATGGCCCACCACTTGCTCATTACAACAGCCACCAGTGTGTGGTGGACTGAGGTGATGGTAGAAAAACAGGCTTAACCTGAGTCTCCATTCCTCCCGGAAGTGTCAGACACTTTTACAGTTTGGACTTGTCTATTCTGCAAGTCAAACTGTTAGAACCAAGGCTTTTCCAGACCCACACTGCAGAACTCATGGAGACTGGGAACCATGGGGGAGCTTCTCTTTGCTCAGCAATCTGGTTCTACAGAAATAGGGCAGGACATGACACACTAAGGAGAAGTGGATATACCGTTTCCTTCTAATTCCACCCATTTTCTAGCTATTTTATACTGGCACCTTGGATATAGTTTCTGCCCTCGTAAAATCAAACTGAAGGATTGATTTCTAAGGATTCTTCTGGCTCTGAAATTCTTTTGCACTATTTAACAGAGAAGCAGTTCATTGAGGACTGGGTGTGTGAGGCGTGGGGTGGTAGGAGACTGTGAGTGAAGTGTCCTGCACCATTTTCATGTTCACATGCAACCTACTGTGTCTAAGGTTCCCTTAAACAGTCCTTGGGCCTCTTCAGAAGCAGAAATAAACAGGATCCTCAGGATGAGTTCCTCTCTGGGTTTCCATTACTCCTGTAACATCAATAATGGATGACAGCCAGGCACAGTGGCACACTCCTGTAATTCCAGTGGCTCAGGAGGCTGAGGCAGGAGGA